GTTAAAGGTTAACCTAGAACCATTTTAGTTTGATAATTTTTAGCAAGTCTAGTTCCGAAGAATCCTACAGTATCCTTATACATAGAAAGCTAAAAACAAAATATTGCGTTTTAGTGCTTATATTATTCCTCACAAATATAACAACTCAATGAAGTTCTTACCCAAATATTAAATATTACCTCATGTATTGCCGCTACCGTGTTTCGATGGCTTCTGTCCAGCCTGACAATAATGTATCTGACCCCTTCCATAATCTTGTGGGGATGTTTAGGTGTCAAATAAAAAAAATTGGGTTGAAGTAGTAACCTAAAAAATACATAGATAGAGAAAGGTCATTTAAATTTTCTTAAAAAAATATTTTAGAATTAAACATTCTAAGGATATAAACATATATGTACCTGCATAATGAATTGGACGGTCAAATTTGGGGTTCCACCTTCTTTCTGTAATCTCGATCCCTTTACTAGCAAAACTACACTTCTCCCCAATAGCTGATTTGACCCTCTCGATACCTTCGTAAAGAATGCCCATGGTAGCTTTTTTATCAGCATCCACCATTCTTAACATTGTGACCAAAGGGGCAATGGCCTCTATGACATTGGAACACCGAGACCAAAACCTCCTATCTGTGACTATGCCCTCCACTTTTAGCTCATTACTGGACTTCGAGAGACTGTCATTTGACCACTTTTTGCTGGTAAACAATCTCTTCAATGCAGCATGGGATTCTTGAATGGAGTCCACAACCAAGTAATCTGTCACAAAGCAGGTTATGGCTGGCCTGATTATCTCTTTTTTTCTGAGATTGTTCTCTGAATAAAAATAAGATTTTAGAGTGGTTATATATTAATCTTGACACGAACCTCGCTGCCTCTAGAGTCTCCTTCACAATTTTGATCTCGCCTATCTCCTCTAACATAAGATCGATGTTGTGTGCAGCACACGGAATCCATACTAGATGCTTCCTCTTATCCATCAACTTGTTATCTGCAAAAACACAAGCACCTGCATTGTATGTAATAAACTGGACCACATGCTTATCTCGAACTGGACCACATGCTTATCTCCCACCCCCTCCACTATCTGGTCATATAATCGTACCAAGAAGTTTGCATCCCTCTTTTTCCTTGAAAAGTCATTGCTAGACAGAAAGGTTGTACCATTTGGGGAATAGGCCAAGAAGCTAATATAATCCTTATTGCTAACTTTATTCAACCAATCATCACTCATGAGAGTAATGCCTGTTCTTGGTCAACCCTGTTTATATTCTTCAATCCACTTTCTAACTTCCTCCACCTCTTCTTCCAAGATCGGCCCACTGAGCTCATATGCAGTCAAGGGCTTTACCCTGGGACCGGCTCTCTGGATTGTGTTGACCATGTGCGGGAAATATGAGCTATTGGTTGCATTAAAGGGGACCCCTTTATCGTAGAACCATTTACCAACATATCTGCCCAATATGTTCCTTGTACCCTTCACCATGCCTTTGAGGGACATCTATTGTGACTTGAGCTTTGAGAGAAATGGGTTTATACGACCATGATCTGCAATATTGGTGCTCCTAGATAAGTCAGGAACAATTTCTTCAACGTCTGGTGCCTCTGGATACATATTGCCACCAACCCCTCCATACATATTCAAGTTGAGCCCGTCATACATGCTCAAGCTGGCCCCGCCATGCATGCTCGAGCTATGCTCACCAAAAATGATCACCAAAATTTAGTTAATCACACAAATAACACCAATAATCGTCTAAATAACATTGTTATCCTCAAAACCCCTCTGAAATCATTCAAAATGATGAAAATTTCAGTTTGGTAGATTTTTTAATTCTTTTTTCTAAAAAACACAGCCACAACTCCATTTCTTCAAAAAATCGAGCAATAAAAATTGGTAAATCCCATAAATTACACCCAAAATCATATGAAGAACAGTATTAACTTCAAAAACCCTCTGAAATAATTCATAATGGTGCTTTTATTCGTCTAAAATTTATAGTTTGGCTGGAAGAATATAAAAAAAAAAAAAAAAAAAAAAGCCCCAACTGTTCTTGAGAAAACCGTGACTCAATAAAAAATCAACCTCAAATCGAACAAAAAAGATAAAATGGGATACAATTTTGATCAATAACATTATACAGAACCAAAACCCTATGATATGAAGAAAATATTTGCTAAAAATAGATTGGAATCGATTAAATGGTGGAAAAAAAGAAGCTCTTAATGTTTTTCTGAATCCGTGACTTCAAACCCAAATTTGACTTGTAATCGACCAAAATAAGCGAAAATGGTGTATAATTTCTGCTCAATAACAGTATCATGAGTATAATAACAGTATCATGAGTAAGAACCTTCTGATTTGATAAAAAACAGTGCCCTATTTTGTTTACAAAACAAATAATTTGTGATCTAAATTCGAGTTTTCAATTCAAATATAATGGTTAATAAGGCTGAAAAGTGATAGCTAAAGCCTGAAAGATTCGATCCAAAGCCTGCAAGATCCAATAATTGATCAAAAAAATCCAAATTTTGATGATTTTTCATGCTTTACACTGTTCACCGAGTCTTGAACAGTGACTTAGGTGGTTCACTGTAGCGAATCGCCGGTTCTTCTCTAGAACCGAGCAACTCCATGTATTTTGTTGGAATCGACACGAGATGACCGACTCCCGTGTCGACTCGGGTGAGTCTGTAGCAACTCGCCCTTTTGTCAAACACTGCTTACAAATATACTTCTTCACCTACCTTGCTTCTCCCTACCTTTCCTCCCCTTCTCCCCCCTGTACCATTCTCCCCCCTCTACCCTACCCCTCTCAACGTTTCCCCACCTCCTCTTCTTCCCTCTGGGGATCAGGGCACACTCTCCTTGCCCCTAGTGTCCTCTCCGCCCTCTCCCCTACCCTCTCCTCCTCTGTTGCGGCCTGATCCTCCCCTTGCTCCCTCCTGCTCTATCTTTCCCTCTCCTCCCCACCCTTCCTCCTCCTCTCAACCTCTTCCTACCCTTCCCTTTGACCTCTACCCCTCCTATTCTCCGCCTCCCTTCCTCTGGAGCTGGCCTCGGGCTCGCCTGAGACCCTGGCACGCCCATCTCTCCCCCCTTTGCGAGTGACAACTACGAGGGGGTCAACGGGGATGGGCACGACCGCGATTTAAAAAGAATGAAGAAACTTTTTCGCATTATGGGCTTTCAGCATGATGGCCCTGAAGGACCTGCCCACTGGTTCTTCCTCGTAGACACTAAGAGTCAACAAAAGGTGAGCATTAAAGGACAAAGGGAGCTCTTTAACCTCTTCTCATCTATCTCTTATGGTGGCCCCTCTACTGTAGGTTTCCCCGTCACTATCTCCTCCCCACCTTTGAGGCGGTCTCCTAGATTAGCCTCTATCTCATCTCCTTCTCCATCACCATGAAGCTTCTCACCTGGAACATTAGAGGCTTGAGACACCCCTCCAAAAGGGAGATCGTCGACCTAGCCTTGAAATACCGTCCCACTATTATTGCCCTCACTGAAACCAAGCTACCCGAGCCTTCTCTTCACCTCATCCGTCAAGTATGGGGTAGGAGGCCATGTCAGTGGGCCATCCTACCAGCCGAAGGGGCTTCAAGAGGAATATGAGTGATCTGGGACCCCACAGATCACCTCCTACAATCCTCACATATAGGGAATTTTTCTGTTACTACCCTCCTGTCTCGCATCTCAGATGGCTTAGAATGGAAATTCTTGATCATTTATGGCCCCTGCTCTTCATCCCTGCGGTCTCGTCTCTGGACTGAACTGAACTTTGTGGCTTCCCTTCGCCACCCAATCTGGTGCTTGGGTGGAGACTTCAATATTACCTATTGGTGTCATGAGAGACTCCTACTCTCACATCTCTCATGGAATGACGGAAGTCTCGGACTTCATTTTTAGGAATCATCTCCTAGATATCCCTCCTCAAGGAAGCCGCTTCACCTAGTCCAATCACTCCCCCCAACCTACTCTCTCAAAACTCGACAGGTTCCTCCTAGCTCTGAATTGGGAGGAACGTTTACGCCATGGCCTTGCATAAACCCATTTCTGACCACTGTCCCATTCTTCTTTGCACCCAAGCCCTTAATAGAGGTCCAAAACCTTTCAGATTCGAACTAGCCTGGCTTGAAGAAAAATCCCTACCATCCTTGTTTCCCACCTGGTGGAACTCCTTCTCTAGCCAGGTTACGGAAAGAGCAGGTTTCAAACTCCAATCTAAGATTCAACTTCTCAAAGCATCCCTTAAAACTTGGAGTCGGTCCATCCCTGGGAACTACTCTCAAGTCAAGTCCGCTCTTCTAAAGTCCATCCAAGAACTGGACTGCCTTGAGGAGTCCAGTCCTCTGACTACCATTGAAGCATACTTAAGAACCCAAACCAAACTCGATTGTTTCTCTACCCTTAAAAAAGAAGAGCTCTACTAGTTCCAGAGATCTAGAGTCAATTGGCTCAAAGCAGGGGACCATAATACTCGTTTTTTCCATAGGATAGCAAATTATCGCCGGAGAGACAATTCTATCTCGACTATCAATTCAATAATAGCAATCTGATTCAGCTGGGAGAAATCGAGTTGGCTATTCTATCTTTTTTCGAGGCCCTTATGCTGCTCCGCGTGGTCCAAGACCTTCATGGCTAACCTCGACTTCCATATTTTGTCGGAAGAACAGGCTCAATGGCCGAAGCGTCCCTTCCTAGAAGAGGAAATTTTGAAAGCTTTAGATGACCTTGCCAAAGATAAAGCTCCAGGCCGAGATGGGTTTCCCATTGCCCCCTTCAAAATCTTTTGGGAAACCTTTTGCCCTAACTTTATAAAGCCATTAATGGCACTTTTATTGCCTTGGTCCCCAAGGTAAAAAGGGAAGAGGAACTAAAGGACTGTCGTCCTATCAGTTTGCTCAACTCCTCCAATAAAATCCTGGCTAAGGTGCTGGTCTCAAGATTACAACAGGTCCTTCCCTCAACTATCTCATCTTCACAGTCGGCCTTCATTAAAGATAGGCAGATCCTAGACGGTGTGCTAACTGCCCATGAGTGTATCCACTCAAGGCATTTGGCAAAAAAGCCAGGCCTCATCTTTAAGATCGACTTGAAGAAAACGTACAGCCACTTTAATTGGTCCGTTTTGGATGAGACAATGGAAGGATGGGTTTACGAGATCATTGAAGAAAGTGGATGAGAGGTTGCTACTCTCATCCACCTTTTCGATACTCATCAACGGAACCCCAAAAGGATTCTTCCCTTCGTCAAGGGGATTACGCCAAGGGAATCCCCTCTCCCCTCTCCCCTTTCCTCTTCGCTATCTCAGCCGAAGTCCTTAGTTGTTCCTTGTCCCGTGTTTACCAGGCTGGTCTCCTCACAGGTTTTAAAACTTCTCACCATGGGCCTATTGTGTCACATCTGCAATACACAGACGACACTTTGGTACTTCTTGATGCATCTCCCCAAGAAGTGGATAACTTGAGGCTCTATCTGAAATGTTTCCAAGTGGCCACAAGCTTCAAGGACAATATGGAAACATAAAAAATGATGGGTATAGCTGTTGCCAATGCCCAAATCAGAGAGCTCATTCCAAATTGGGAGTGCAAAGTTGAGGACCTCCCAACAATCTATTTGGGTCTACCCCTGGGGCTGGAAAAACCGAAAAAGAGACATTGGTCCCATGTGGTGGACAAGGTTGATAGAAGTTTGGCTGCGTGGAAAGGGAGATACCTCTCTCAAGCGGGAAGAATAACTCTAATCGAAGCAACCTTGGCCAATGCACCTGTGTACCTTATGTCGTGTTTTCAAATACCAACTTCAATGGCTAATCGGCTTGACCAATCATGAGGAACTTTCTCTGGTCAGGGCAGGCCGAGAAAACAAAATTCCATTTAATTTCTTAGAATATGGTCTGCTTACCCAAACAACAAGGGGGGTTGGGGATCACGCTCTTAAGAAAACACAATTTGGCCCTCTTAGGGAAATGGTGGTGGCGTCAGGCCACTCAAACAGACTCTCTCTGGGCTCAGGTACTATGGAGTAAATACAAGATTCCTGAATACACTTGGGTGTCAGACAGGAGACCTTGGACCAATGCATCAAGAGCATGGAAATCTTTCACCTCCTCTCTCGCGTTGTTCAAAAAATACATCAGGCTTCATCCAAGAGAAGGAACAAGAGTGCACTTCTGGTCAGATCTCTGACTTAGACACGCACCATTAAGGGAC